AAAAAAAAAGAAAAACAAAAGGATGAAACAGTATACCTAGTCTTACGAATAAGAACTGAACAATATGCTGATTTGTAATTGTTGCCAAGGATTAAACTAACTGTATTACAAGACATTTGTTGTTGAGATTAGCATATAATGCTACACAAGCTGTTTAGGATCACAGGCTTTGCCTTTACTGAATGTTAATGTTTCATTTACAGATGATGGGGAAAAACCACCTTATTTAGAGTACTAGGATACATACAGGATCTTTACATTTTATTTATTTATTTTTTTAGTTTTGTGCTAACATTAAGCAACTCATTGGTTGACCTTTATTTTCTGTTTTGTCAGCGTGTGATCCACTTAAGTGAACGCTAATAAGCAATAAGTGTGGTGATAGAGTGACCAAAAAAGCAGGAAATAAAGTAATCAGTTGAAATATATATTTTATTTTTTTGACTTCATGATTGGAACTCTATCACTCTTCTCCAATTGCTTGGTGTGGAAACAGTTTAATGGAACCCCTCTGACTGATGAAGCCCTCCGGATAGAGGGCAAAACGTCTCTATAAAAATAAACTGTCCAAATGACTTGACTGAGAATTATTGGATCTATACTATACATATACTGTTTTCTTTAAAGTTACTTTTGACTTGAATAATGTCTGATGTTTTTATACGTTGCCTGTTTTTGGAATCAGGCTCAGCTATACTCTGAGTAATGTTTATCCTTAGATTTTATGCTTTAAAATAATTCATGACGTTTGTTTTATTTGATTATGACAGAGAGGAACATGAATAAAGTTGATTATTGTTTACAGTCATTATAATGCAATCATGTGAAATATAACTATGTGTTTTAACATACTTTTATTTTCTTAAAAATGGAATACTTTTCTTTTAGAAACACCTTTATATAAGTGTTTTTGAGATGGAATCTGTTTACGTCAGTGTGGAGTCATTATATTTGAGAGTTCCCCAAAACACCCCTGAGCTGAGAGTTCAAAGTTTCTTTGTGTGACACTTTGTCAGTTTTCCCCATTCTGATGTGTTCGTCTGATGTCCGACTTGTTTATTCCTGAACAAAGAAAATAAATTTGCTCAGCAGCCACATTTGTTATAAGCAGAGTTCCAATTACTACAGAAGTTAAAATATTTTTCTCACTTCAAGACTCATGTTTCCGGCTTAAAGTGTAAGCTGGCTGAAGGTTGCCAATGGCCCGTACACCTTCTCATCAGCTGAGACACTAACCCTGGAAGCAATGCAGTGACTTCTGGCTGCTTTGGGCAGTGCCTGACCTGTCCTTTCCTCATGGTGTATACTTGTCTGTCCAGCCAGCAAAACCCTTAAAAGACGAGTGAACTCGAGTCCTCAACCCTGACCTCACCTATGGTCATGAGCTGTGGGTAGTGACAGAAAGAATGAGACTGTGGATACAGGTGGTTGAAATGAGTTTTTTTCTGCAGGGTAGCTGTACTCTCCCTTAGAGATAGGGTGAGAAGTTCATTCATCCGGGATAGAATCGGAGTAGAATCACTGCTCCTCCACATCAAGAGGAACCAGTTGGGGTGATTCGGGCATCTGGTAATGATGCTTCCGGTGCACCTCCCTAGGGAGGTGCTTTGGGCATGGCCGACTGGGAGGAGACCCCAGGGAAGACCCAGGACATGCTGGAGAGACTATATATCTCATTTGGCCTGGGAATGGCTTGGAATCCTCCCAGAAGAGCTGGGAGAGGTGGCTGTGGAACAACATGCCTAGGCCTCCATACTCAAGCTGCTGCTCCCGCGACTTGACTTTGGATCAAGCCTAAGATCATGGATGAACAGATGGATGGATGGAAGTGCCATTAAGATGAATAAATCCATCAGTAACAGAAGAACTAGGGGGCTGTCTTCTTCCTGGAGGGTGTGGTATATACCATGTTTCTACAGTAGACTGAACCTGTGGTTCCCAACCTATTTTCCTCAAAGACCCCCCTTCTTACTTCCTAGCCAGTCTGAGCCCATCCAATTCCTCGCTACTCCCTTCTCCCAAAAGACTCATTCAGATTAATATCTTTATTAAAGTGATAAAATAAAAAAGTCAATATTATAAGTAATATTATAAGTAATATTATAAGTAATAATAGTTATATAAGTAAATATAGAATAAAGTAAATAATAAAAGAATAAAGTAAATAGTTACAAACTTTTATTTGTAAAAGGTAAAAAGTGGTAGTTGTACAACAGGAATAATAACTACAAGAACACTGTTTTGAGAATTATTCAAATAAATTTTCTTTAAAAACTAACAGAGTAATCTTAAAAAAAACAATCTTAAAAAATAAAAATGGTAGTTTTGTCAAGATATCTTCCTGATCCTATAATGCAGCTGATTTTTGCAATTTTCAGGCAGGCGGGTTTCAGAAGTTGTTCTCCAATATTGTCCAGATTTTTAGCCTTAGCGATTAAAAGAGAACACAAAAGATGCTTCTGTGGCTCTGTGCAAATCACTACCTGCTCTTTCAAAGGCTTTTCTGATATCAGTGGACCTTTTGACAGTGCCAACTGCTTCTGAAAGTATTCCCGACTTTCACCAACATTATGCCTGTTCTAAACTAGGGAAAAATGACTCATCTGTGTGTTTTTCACATTTAAACATTCACAACTGCATGTGTTTGTTTATTTTATTTATTTAATAAACTTGAGCTTAACCAAGACCTCTTTCTACCGCTTCTCAACTGAGAGCCGTGCACAGTACTGACGCCATAACAAAGCGCTCTTAAAGTGACTGTATAGATTTTAGTTTTTAACATAATATGTTATAGAAAACTTTTAAAACATAACCAGAATTAGGGTTCTTCAGTGTTAATCAGGATTTGGTGAAATGTCAAACATTATAATTAAAAATAAAAGCATTATTTCTAAAGTTGTTACACAGATAATAAATGTATATATTTTACAACCTCTAACCTCTCAGCAGACACAATATATGACCCCCCTGTGCGTCGGGAATCACTGGACTAAACTTTAGAGCTCATGTCATATTGACATGATTTGTTGGTTCTTTTGTGGAGTTATTGAGTTTATGAAGTGTCAGTTTTTCTTTAACAGTATGTTCTTAAAAGTTATATTAAAGGTATACTGTGTAGAAATATAGAACATAAAATTAGTCTTTATGCTGACGATGTCTTACTTTTTCTTCAGAACACAGAAAAGTCAATATCT